AGTTTTTTTGTGTATGGTTTCTCAATGTTCATTTCAATTGTTTAGTTTTTTTTTATTTTCCTTTTACCTCATGCCATTATTTAGGTAAGGCTTAAGTATTGAATATCGCACTTTTGGCTTTGCGAGGCACTTTCCCAGATCGTAACCTCTATATTCAAGGGGCTGAGGAGTGCCGATTTTCAGCAGAAACTAGATATCTGCTTTATTGATGTAATTAAGGCATATAGTACCATATAGAGGCTTGGGGCTTTGGGTTCTTTGTTTTTTATGTCTCTGCCTCTGCTCACATTCTTTGATGATTTTTATGATTTTGGGAAAGCTCATCTCAAGCTGCGTGACCAGGAGTCATTTCCTGTTCAACTTGACTTGTGACAGAAATTCACTCCGGCCCCATGCATTACATTACAGAGCATCTTCAATAATTGTCGTTTGAGAAGCTCTCAATGGCCATATAAATAAATAGCATTTGTTACGGTTAAAATTATACGCGCATCGATGCCTGGTTATAGTTAAGGGATCGTTCCCTGGTCAACCATGTTATATCTGCTGATGGTCTGGTAATGGCTACTCAATGAGATGGGGTTAGAGAATCTTGTTCTGTGGCTGGATAATTCCATCATGAAATGGGGCCTTTCGTATGTTCCACAAAAATAAATCATCTGCCTGGGAATTTGATTTCATACAACACTGTACCTGCTCAACTCTTCATGAGTAATCAGGCAGTTCTAAAAGTGGTGGAGGAGTTCCCATACCTGGTTAATGTGTTCACGACCAGCTCTGGTTTGGCAGCCAAAGTCTCACTTAAAATTAGTCGAGCAGCATTCTTTCATTAGACTGTGTAACACTGCGTGGAAGCTGCCTGGACTTTTGCACCAAACAAAGCTGTGAGTGTCCATCACCAAGGACTAGTCTGAGACCATCCTTCTCCCTTGCATACTGGCATCGCACCTGCCTCTCACTCTTCGTACTGTGGATGGTGGGCGCACAGGACGGTGCCACGCAGCCATTCCAGGCTGGGTCCAAATGGGTTACGTGGGTCACCGAGCCACCAGGCCTCATTCCACGAGTGATATCAATATATAATATCTGTAACGAGGCCCCCCAATAGACTGCCCCTGGAACTCTATCGGGCACGTCCCACTGAGGGACGTCCCCGGGGCCCGGGCCAGGACCAGGACATGCTGGTGGGAATATGTTTCTTGGCTTGCTTGGGAATGCCTGGGAATTCCCCAGGAAGATCCAGAGTCTGTCGCCAGGGAAAGGGAGGTCTGGACTGCCCTACTCAATGTGCTGCCGCCACAACCCTCACCAAGACAAAGAGGATTTAGAAATAAACGAACGAACAAAGCTGTGAGTCTTCTTGGCCACAGATATTACTCCTTTATCTGTGGATGCAAAATATTAACTTATTTAAAGGACTGTCTGTTCTGGCTTATAATTAAGACTGGCCAGCCTATGATCCCCTCTATTGAACCAAACAAGATTGTATTAGAACCTTATAGATCCCTAAAATATCAGTACAGAATATAATCAGCGAGTCTCTTTGGCAGGCCAAGCTGCATTGGTTGGGTCATTAATCCCGCATAAACAGACAGCATGCTCAAGGATCTTCTGTTAGTCCAGGTGTTATGAGCTAAACAAGCATGGTATTGGCTTGAGAAGAGATTGGAGGATGTGGAGGTGATCAGACCTGCTGATGACTGGTACCAGGAGTCATGATCGGCCTCTGTGGAGGAGGCCCGTGATATATGCTGCGGGGCAGTTGGAGATATTTGCTCTGCAACAACAGTGAGTTCGGAGGAGCAATGCTCACTTGAATGGGTGGAATGCTGGGTGTCTAAAATGCAGCAAGACAGTGGGAAGCACAGCTGGTGCATCTGTCAATCATCTCAGTCATTCATCCCTTGACACCTGGATCATTCCCATGACCTGCTGACAAGTGATCCACACTTACATGGCATCCATGTGAAATGTATGTGTCGTGAGTTCAACTGAGTCGCAGATGTACACTTGGAGGCAACACATTTATTTAACACCAACACACGGGGTAACTGCCCCTTAACAGAATAACAACCTGTGGTGGTGACCACCAGGCTAACTGCACTAATTACAACGTAACGAGCTACTACGGACGGGACCATGGCTCGGGTCCAGTTCCACGTGTTGTAGACTTGGTGGAACTTAGACGAAGGTTTCTTCAGATTGAACAACAACGCCGGTCCCTCTGGGGGACCCGGCTTATATTCTCTGCGGTGTGGCTGGCTCCGCCTTTGGCCACGACCACCTTCCAGTATCCTCGAGCAGGATCTGGACCCCGACCACGTGACCACCCCAAACCCCCACTTTGGTCCCCTTTGTGCCCTTTCGGGTCAACCAGAGTGCCATGGCCTTTTGTAACCTCATTCCTACGGCCGGCATTCCCACACCCTATCCTGTAGGGCCGGCACTGCATGCCAAGCGTGGTGCCATCCTGCGCTAGCAGTCAGCGCTCACCGAGCCAGTCTAGGGCCAGTACTACACCCACCATCGTGGTATCCGCGATGTCGTTACACCGCACGCCGTGTTTCTCTAGGGCCGGCACTACACAGTGACATCCCGCTATGTCACTACATCTGTAAGAGTTCATTTATGTGGGGAGCGGTGGCGTAGTTATTACACTGTGTAACAAAAAAATGTGTTGTTCCTGGGTAGTTATTTCCTAATTGCCTATGCCTCAAAAGTACAGAAAATGCTATTCCCCACAAACTTTGCTTTTGTGACTAGGACAGTGATATTTAGAAATGTACCTATTTTCAATGATAAAACGGGCGAATTTGTGTCTTTTCGTTCACGTAAAGTCCTGGTCACAAAAGCAAAGTTTGTGGGGGATAATAGCGATTTTCTATACTTTTTAGGCATAAGCAATAAAAAAAAAACACTTTGTACGCAGGAACAAAAATTGTGTTACATAGTATTATGATTGTATTATGAAATCAATAATTAGAGTTTGATTATTTCAGACAACAAACCTAATTGATAAGTTAAAACGTAACTTCTTGTGGGTCTCGGCTATGTTGATTTATCCTCAATTAATTAATTGGTGAAGTGAGAGAAACATTAATACTGAGCAGATGAAGGTGGCCAGGCATGGTTCTGGACACACCACCATCTTTTTACCATGCCAGTGTGTGACAGTATAAAGTTTGTATTTGCAGTAAAGTATATTAACTCTTCTTCATGGTTCTTTCGGTAAAGTCACGTAGAATGGAAATAATAAAATTATAAAAATAAAACATAAAATTATTGTCACGACGTTTCGGCCACAACGCAAGCAGCCGTCCTCAGATGAAGAACAGGTCTGTCGATAAGACAGTCTGAATGACACGTCCTAGGTTTGGAGCGTCTATTTAAGCTGGGAGGGAGGAAGAAGACCACCTTGACAAAATAATTTGCATATCAAGAGGAATTTTTTGCATATTCATGGGAAATGCAGATATGCGACTAGTACTACTTGTGAAATGCGTAGGAGGTTTGGCAGGGGGTTAAAGTCAAGTTTTGCCCGTGCAATATGCAGGACCAGCAGCATCAAAGGGAGGGGATAGGGGGGAGCATTAATAAAGGGAAGGAATGTTAACAGTATGTAGCTGCAGGAACCAAACCACCAATTAAACAACCAAAGTATAAACTACATAGTATCAATATACTAAAAATACTCTCCAATAAGCTGAGCTACCAACAGTAAGTAATACACCACAATTCTATGTCGCAAAAAATATAACACGCCTCAAGCCAAACTTTATTCTCCCACATCACACGGGTCTACCCCGTACTACATACTGCCACAGACAAACCCAACATTAAACCACATACTGTATTACTATACACCACCCTTATACATTGTAATATTACACTGTATTATTCTACCCACCCTACTGCACACCACACTGCTGCATATTCACCAGCTTATTGGAGAGTATTTTTAGTATACTGATGATACTATGTAGTTTATATTTTGGTTGTTTACGTGGTGGTTTGGTTGCTGCAGCTACATAGTGTTAACATTCCTTCCCTTTATTAATGCTTCCCCCTATCCCCTCCCTTTGATGCTGCTGGTCCTGTATAATGCACGGGCAAAACATGACTTTAAATCCCCCGCCAAACCTACGCATTTCACAAGTAGTACTAGTCACATATCTGCATTTCCCATAAATATGCTAAAAGTTCCTCTTGATATGCAAATTATTTTGTCAAGGCGCTCTTCCTCCTCCCTCCCAGCTTAAATAGACGCTCCAAGCCTAGGACGTGTCATTCAGACTCTGTCTTATCGACAGACCTGTTCTTCACCTGAGGATGGCTGCTTGCGTTGTGGCCAAAACATTCGTGAGAATTATTTTATTCTGTTTTATTTTTCTAATTTTATTATTTCCATTCTACGTGACTTTACCGAAAGAACCAAGAAGATGAATCCCTGCAGTCACGAAAGCTTTAAATCGAAATATATTAACTCTTTTGAACACGGAGGTTAAATCAAAATAATAGTTTATTTTAGTTTTCCTCTGCAACTTTTTCTAAGAATGCAAACAGGAAATTAACACGGCACATATGCAGCTGAAATTTGAGACTGGCTTCACACCTCTAAGTTGCTATTGAACATTAATTTATGCATTTCTGCATAATACAAACAGTTTTATTTTCAACACCCTTTGCTTTGTTAGCCGAATTTAGCTTTTATAAATATTTATTTTCTAGCCAGACAACCGAAATTGTGTGCTTGGAGTTTTGGGTTAACATTCATTTTGAAGAGACTAGGGCTTCCAGGCATATTTATGACCATTTGCCCACTCAGTGTTTGTCATAACAGCCCGTGTAATGAATTTGGGAATATTTTTCACTATTTCATGAACATATGAATAAGTATAGACGTGTAAGTCATGTGTAACTGTGTATATATGTATTCCTCTGTGCCTCGATACTTACGTAGATGGTGTGGATATTCTCTTTTTTCTGTCTGCAGCTGACGCTTCCTCTGCAGATTTGGTCTGATGGAGCAAAGGTGCTCAGCACAGCTCGGTACAAAAAGGCACCAATGCGACCAGTGTGCATACAGCACGGATCGTCCTGGCCATTTGACACAGCACCAGAGAACTCACACAGGAGAGAAACTCTTCAGGTGCACTCTTTGTGACAAGGCATTTGCATGGTCATCATGTCTTCAAAAACATCAGAGAATACACACAGGAGAGAAACCCTTCAAGTGCAGTGTGTGTGGGAAGGCGTTTTCACAGTCATCTAATCTTGTATCACACCAGAGAACACACACAGGAGAGAAACCCTTCAGGTGCACTTTGTGCGGGAAGGCTTTTGCAGACTTATCAAATTTTAAACAACACCAGAGAACACACACGGAAGAGAAACCTTTCCAATGCACTTTGTGTGAGAAGGCATTTGCATGTCCATCAGGTCTTAATTGCCACCAGAGAACACACACAGGAGAGAAACCCTTCAGGTGCACTCTGTGTGGGAAGGCGTTTGCACGGTCATCAAATCTTAAAAGACACCGGAGGACATACAATCATCAGAAGATCCCCAAGGAGTGGAGTCTGAAATCGGCTTGTGAAAGTCAAAGTGCTGCAATCAGCCCATCCCTCATGAAACCAGAACTAAATCCCAGCTTGGACACTTTTAAAGGTATCAAGGTGAAATGTGAAGAGGCGAAGGTGAAATGTGAAGAGGCGAAGGTGAAATGTGAAAAAGTGATGAAGAGCGAAGAAGTGAAGATGAAATGTGTAGAATTGATGGTGAAGAGCAAAGAAGTGATGGTCAACTGTGAAGATGAAGATTCAACCCCAAAATCGGACCTTCACATCGATGGAGGCAACGTGAAGCAGGAGGAGATTTCTGACTGTAAGGCAGAGGGAGGCAACTCCCAGCAGTTTGTGGAAGTGGAGGTGTGGGTGGACTTCTTAGACAATACAAAGTCAAATAGAGACCCGGTCGATGTGTAAGCTTGAGACAATGAAGCTCCAATAGATGCACCTTTGTCACAGGCCTTTAATGAAAAGAACGTGAAGTCGAACACTCAATTCCTGGGTTCAACCTGCAGAGTAAGAGCGACCAGTATTTGTGGACCTGTGGGTTGGGTAGATGAATAATCAGGAGCAAGAGCCAATAAGCTCCCAAGTATTCCACTGTTATATTCATATTTGCATTGATATGGTGCTTGCTTAATTGCTTCAGCAACTCGGTTGTTTCATATCTCATCACAGACACTCGAAGAGCACCCCCAAGTGGCAGCTACCTCTGTGTCATAAGGTGACCCTGCTCTATCCTGCATGTGGACATGAGTCTGTCAGTAGGGGGTGATGATTGATGTGTAATCTCCGTTATGTAATTTCTGGATAATGTTTGGAATTGCCCAAATATTGACCATGACACCAACATGCAATGACCTATGCGTTTTGAATGACAATAGTATGTTTTACATCCACTGTTAAGCAGACGGTGCATATTTGGTTTAATGTTGCTGGAGTAGCCAGGCGTGCCTGTGGGATTTGAACCTTGAACCTCTGCAATAAATAGAGAATGTGCTACCACTTGGCTTCCCTCAATCTGAGTGTAGGCATGACAGCCTCAATGTTTTTAACTGGCGCAGATGTTCCATTTAGAGGGGTCCACGTTTCACATGCCTACAGAAGGGAGGGCATGACTGGCCGAGAAGAACCGGAGCGACAGACCAGGACGCTTCAACACAGCATAGCGCAGTCGTTGAAAATATAATGCCGCCCGACTGATTCGGACCGCCCACACAGTGTACACACGCAGTGTACCCACAAGGTCTACACACACCATGTACACAGCGTACACAAAGTTTACCTATACAGTATACAAACAGTCTGTACACGCACAGTGTATACACAGTAACAACCGCCATTCGCCACAAAGTGGTGGTGACGTCACCACGACGCTTGTGCCAGGCTATGTGCACGTGGCAGACCCAGGTGTCATGGGTCGACTGAGATGACTGGCCAATGCACCACCTGTGCCCCCGACTGCGCCAACAAACAGTGTACACACACAATGTTCACGCACACAATAATGTTCACGTTGTTTTTGTTGAGCTCACGCACCCAAGGGGTCTCTGTTCAAGAGAGGGAGCCATCGAAATGGAATCTAAATAAACTTGAACTCTAACCCTGATCTCGCTCTCTGACGTCACCACTCATTAACTCGGCGCGAGGGGGAGGTGTCCCCTACTAGTGACGTCATGTCACCGAGGTATTTACCCCGCCCATCCCCCTCCACCCGGATTTTGAGCGTGACGTCACATCTGCCGATTTCCGTTCCAGTAAAATGCTTATTTGGGACGGTTTCAGCAGCCAAGCACCATCACCTGACATGGGCCCCTCTCATTAACATAATATATTCAGTTACCCTGCTGCTTGTTGGGGGAGGGGATTGTGTGAACCCCGCAAGTGACGTCATGTCACCTGCTGCCGCATGACGTCACGAGTTACCAGGTAGCTGCTGCTCCGCGCACGCTCACTGAGATCCGAGGTGAGAAGTTAACGTCGTGGTGGTTGTGGTGGTTTTTGTGGTGGTGGTTGTTTTGGTTGTTGTGAACCCAGGTAGAGCCTCGCTCCTCCTTCGTAGGGATATCAATTGAGTAGCAGCGAGTATGGAATCGATGTCCAGGTTGGAACATTACAACGCAGGGCCTAGCCATGCGGGGCCTTGCCTCCTGCCCTCGCCTGATTGCATTTGCTTTAATTCTCTGCTTAAATTTAATTTGTCTTCACCTGGCTCACAACTTTGAAACTTTGTTTTACTTTTATTTTACCAGGCATAGCCCACTTGAGCTCCACCGCTCGTTTTCAGGGAAGCAAGAGTGTCTGATAGAAAACGGGCTAGTGTGATGCCGCCGCCGCGGAGCCGCTCGGCGGGCGCCCCATCTACGACCTCGCCACCACCAAGCGACGGGGCCGACCCCGCTTCCCCCTCACCACCCCCCACATAAACACATCCTCACACATTTTCCCACATAGAGCGCCAAGGGGAGGTCTCCTGGCCGGCAGGTTTTTACCCGAAAGCCCTCATAGGGATAATCTTCACGGTTTCCTGCGGCCAGGGAATTGGGCGACCTCCCCCGATGCTGGTTCGCACCGCGGCGCTGTGACCCGAGTTGAGATTGCATGGTCATGGTGGGGGCTGTCCAGCCACCACGGTTGAAACGCACCCCCCCACACACACGTATCGACAAGGCCGGCAGGGGGCCACAGCCACGAAAGAAGGGAAAGCCAAGGAGGGGGGGTACGGCTGATTAGCGTGGCAGGTGTGCGCGAGGACTGCCGCCACGCAGCAGCCGCGGCGAGCCTTTGTTACGGAAACCGCGGCTGATTGGCATAACAAAGGCGCCCATGGATCACCGCCGGCGCCGCAATCGGCGGGGGACCCATTGTTAGAGAAACCGGAATGCGGCTGAACGGGCGTGGCGACCTGATTGGCCGAAAAGGCGCTCGGGTCGGCGTTCTTTGATGTAGGTTGAGGATAAAAAGAGGGCGCAGAGAGGTAAAATGCTCTCTTACTCCAAAAAGTCAGCGTTCAGGACGGCTTCCAGCTCGGCCACTCGAACGTCCGTGGGACGCGTCGAGGTGAGCGGCGAGGACGAGACCAACGGAATGCCATGCGCATCTAACCGTGAGTAAGAGGGAAAGGAGTATTGGGATTGAGGCTAGAAAAACCAAAACCGCTTAGAGCCCATCAAATTAGATATATCGGGTACAGACCCTTGGGCGATAGTGTAGGCCTGCCTTGTCGATCCTTACTGACTTAACAGTGAATCATAGTCGGCCGGTAATAAATCATTAATAACTAAGCGCAACCTCGTGTGGTTTCGACGAGAGTGTGAGCGCGCGCGGTGCTGTGTGTACGTACGCTCACAGCGTGTGAGTGCTGCGCGGGGCTGTATGAGGGGAGGTGTCGCGTTTTATTGAAGGAGAGGCAACGCAGTAATAACTAATCGTAGCCTCAAGTGGTTTCGACGAGAGTGTGAACGCGCGCGGGGCTGTGTGTACGTACGCTCACAGCGTGTGTAGTCAGTGCTCCACGGGGGTGCGCTCATAACGTGGGTGGTCAGTGTTGAGACGCGTGCTGCGTGAGGGCTCACACCCACCGCAAACACCTGTTCCACGGCCCCTTTAGACGAGCGTTATCACCCGCTCACGGCGGCGCGCGTGTGCGAGCAATGCCACGGCCCTCCGACCTCCGACCCCCAGCTGCCATGCGATTTCTAGAGCGTGCACGGAGTTGAATAGTAGTGTGCGGGTAGTTATTACCAATGTTTGAGGGAAGGCACGAGGAGGGTGTTTGAATGAACAAGGTGGCTAAGGGATCAGCCAAGAGTTAGGTCTCACAGAGAGGAATCGATGGAGCAGTAGCTCCTACACTAGTTTGTAGGTAGGAAAGTTGATCGTGGACACGATGGGTCGTAGCGGGGTGCCTTCTTTATGGATCTTGGTAAGGCCATAGAGTCTGGGAGGTCTTGCAGCCGAGGGTTTTAGAGTTGGACGTTTGGTTGGTTCGATTAGGGAAGTCGAACTCGTGATGATATTGTTAGTTTTTTTCGTTAGGCTGTTAGTAGGATCGCTTTTAATTTTGTAGAAACTCCCATCATTAAGTAGGTCCAGGATTTTGTTGTTGTATAATTCGTTATCCATGATGACCGTGGCATTGCCCTTGTCTGTCGAGAGGATGACTATATCATCTCTCTTTTTTAGGTTCGCGAGTTCAGAGTGTTCGTTTTTGCTAATGTTGCTTCCCTTCTCTGGCAAGACCTCTTCAACAGTACTTAACTCAACCCAATTGGTCTCTATGGTCAAGGACATGACACTATCTCCTGACTATATCCTCGTCAGTTTTGATGTGGTATCTCTGTTTACCAAAGTCCCAGTACCTGACACCCTAACAATATCTTCTTGGTTCTTTCGGTAAAGTCACGTAGAATGGAAATAATAAAATAATAAAAATAAAACATAATAAAATAATTATCACGATGTTTCGGCCACAACGCAAGCAGACGTCCTCAGGTGAAGAACAGGTCTGTCGATAAAACAGAGTCTGAATGACACGTCCTGGGCTTAGAGCAGGGGTCCTCAAACTACGGCCCGCGGGCCACATGCGGCCCGCCGAGGACATTTATCCGGCCCATGGTCACTAATTGGGCTGCGCTGGTGAGCACTAATTGGGCTGCGCTGGTGAGCACTAATTGGGCTGCGCTGGTGAGCACTCATTGAGCTGCGGTGGTGGGCACTGATTGGGCTGCGGTGGCGAGCACTGATTTGGCTGCGCTGGTGAGCACTGATTGAGCTGCGGCGGTGGCCACTGATTGAGCTGCGGCGGTGGGCACTCATTGGGCTGCGCTGGTGAATGGTTTAATGGGCCAATTGACTGGACTTGCCCCCCAGGCCTAAGGCTGCCAGCCCTCCCCTGGCTGCGCTTGACTGGCTCTCTCTCCCTCAGCTCCCTCACTTGCCCCTCGGCTCCACTCCCAGTGATATTCCTGTGTGCTGGGGATGTAGATCCCCAGCACACGCACCGCTGAGTAAATGATAGAGGGATAATAACAGAGTGATCTCTGATATCTGGAGGAGCTGCCTGCTGTTTTCCCGTGCTGGTCAGTGACAGACAGCCGAGGAGTAGGAAACCCAATTTAAATGACAGTAAGTGCATTTATATTCTGATTGCTATTCAGTTGTATGAGGTTATATGTTGTATGTTGTGTAAGCCCCGGTTCATACTGTTGCAATCTCTGAGCAGTGCGAGTTCAGCCATATGCTTGTATGGCTGAACTTGCATTAGATTCGGAAGAAAAAAGGCACATGTGCCTTCTTTTTTCCTGCAGTGGAATCGGATCGCTTGGGTCTTCTCCCCCATGCGATCAGATTCCTATGCGAGTTCGCAGATCGCACTGCGATCTGTGAACAAAACTGCAGGTGTAATTAACTT